ACATATACAAATTTAAAGACAATTTTTTTGTTTAATACATCACTAGAATTAGATTATTATTACCAGAATAGTGATCCTCCCAAGTGGGACCCAACAAAGTAAAATGGAAATGGTAAATAGTAAAAATAAGGGGATGATTCCCTTACTAAAACAAATAAAAAGATAAAGAAGAATTGAAAACGGAACTAGGGAAGAATATAAAAGGCAAGTGCAGTGTTTGAGTATGTAAGGTTTTGGAAAATAAAGAGACCCTCGAGCAGAGAGAAGAAGAAAATCTAGATTTTGGTACGAGTTAGGATACTCTCCCTTGTTGGTTTTGGTACTTCTCCATTGGATCAGTGTTTTAGGGTTGTATTCCTCTTGATTATTGAAAAATTTAATACTGGACCTAGATTATGATGTGTAGTATCAGAATATTTTTTAAAGATTGTGGCTGAAGATACGTTACACCAATCCAATACTATACGACACGTCTTATCTTTTTTAAAGTCTAAAGTAAGAAACAAATCGTCAACACACACCTAATTTCACATGGAATTTGTTTACAAGTAAAATGTAATAATAGTTAAGATTAATATCCTTAAATAGAGCATTCTAGAACAAATACTTTAATATCATTCACGTATATGATACTCTATGATATTTTTATTAATACATATTCATTCAGTGTCAAAAATTTTAAATCAAATATTTTCTTGATACTTTCAGTATATTCTTAAAATATTTTTCATTCTTTCTCTAAACATTTAAACTATCATGTACAAGTACTATTTACCACATCTAATGACTACAATATATTTCCATTTATAGTTTTGGTGATTAAATAATGTGACTATTTGTGATTTCTAATGAATATAGTGTATTTCAATATATGTATAATATTTGTCTAATAATATGTTTGTATGTATTTTTGTGGACGAGATTTCTGGCATTCCAATTAATAACATAGAAAAATAGATAAACATTAACTTAGACCCACTTCTACAAAACACTTGTTACGCATCTCAAATCCACAAACACTATATTGCAATTTCAAATTGGTGGAAACTAACATCATAATCCATAATAGTATTAGAATAAAGAACAACATGCCTCCCAAAATTGGTGGGAATTTGTGATTCATTGAACCCAAATAACCAATTTAAATTCTTAAAGAGTGGGCCCAACAAATTGACTTCCACCAACGACCACTCCTCTGGGTCTGCCTCATTTCACATGGAGCCATGCTCAATTTCAAATTTTATAATTATTATGGTAACTACAATTTCTTATTCCAGAATTTAACGTTTCCTTCTATTCAATTGTTCAAATTCTGAACGTTATGTTAGCACTCACTAAACAAAAGAACATTTCTATCTACATTATTATTGTTCAACGTGTAAGGTTCATAAGGTCTTGGTTTGGTAATATCTTACATTTTTTAAATTTCAAAAGGAGGAGCTAATACTTTGTGGGTTTGATTGAACTTTCCACCTAATCGCGTGATAACAACGACATCACTCGTTTTTTAGGTAAAAAGTTTAGACACTTAACACATTGATTATGACATTTTTCACAGGCACATATTAAATTATCTACAATCTAATAATGATTGTCCTTCCTCCTAATAATAATAATAATTTGATCCCCAACATACTCCTAATTTGAATACTTCCACTACAATAAAGTATTCAAAAATTGAAGTCCAATGAGTGGATTTATACTATATTGAATCAATAAAAAACAAAAATAAAGGTGTTGAGGACATTTCTTGTCTTAAAAGTCTTGGTTTGGTACAAATTTCAATAGCCTCTACAAACAATTCTAAACTCATTATCTGTACACCACTTTGCTAATAACGTTCCCTAGAGAAGCATTGACATTATGGCCTTTTGTGTATTTATAATATATCATATGCCAGATTCAATAATGCAACTCTGTCATTTGAAATTTGCCTTAAAAATGATCACATGCTTACACATTAACCTTTAAAATTGTAGAAGGCAATGCTCAAAACTTGTGGCCAATTGTGAAATAGCATTAGGGTAAACAAAATAACAAAGGACACAGCTGGGCTTATAAGAAACTAGCATGTGCTCATAGGATAGCAAAGCAGACAAATAGGCAAAATGATTGATGAAATGTCTAAAAGAAAGGATTAAATAATTGAAGCCTTTAATAAAGATAATTAGCAGTAGTAAACAACTATCATCTATCATTCACATGAATGATTATCTGGTTAAGGTATTAAGGACAATAACACATTGCCCCACTACGTCCTTTGCATTATAACCACTTTGAGAGCATGTTAGTTTGCATTTAATTTGTTGCCATGACATGCGCAAATTTTGCAACATATGGTAGCAATCATTTAAAAGAACAAAGAACTAAATGCTTTATAATTGCAAAGGTAAAATAAAACAATAAAAATTAGCACAGAAGTCATAAATGAACATATAACTGAGGCCTTTAGCATTATGGGAATCTAATGTACTATGGATGAATTCTCAAGTGGTGTGAATGTTGTGGGAGAAGATGCCAAGGGAAGAACCTGGGTTGTACTTGAAGGAAACTGTGGTAAATGTTGTTGAAGTTCTCTCTGCTCTTTCTCTTTGTTGTTAATGAACCTAAGCAAGGTCCTGTCTTTTTCTTCTGTCATAGCCTCATGACTCTTCTGTGCCTTTCTCTGAGCATCTTCAACTAATCTTCTATACAACTTCTCCTCTGCATCCCTCAAGAACTTGAATTTTGAAGGTGGTGAAGAACTAAATCTGTTGAAATCTGAGCCTCCTGATGATTCAAAGAGAGGGTTGAATCCTTGGTTCTTGTAATAATCAAGATTATCCAAAGAACACTTCAAAGGTGAACAAGCCACAGGGCTAAGGAGAGGGGTGCTAATTGCTACCATAATATCACTCAAACTCCTTCTTCTTGACCCTTTTCTGCTTCTATCTTCAGATTCCAAATCTTCTTTAGTTTCTTCTTTGATTGTGAAAAGAAATCTTGGTGGACCAGCTAGATTATGCAGCCTCATCAACTCTGACTCTACCCCTTCTTCTCCCAATGCCTTCAGCACCAAATCATCTGAGACTTTTAAACCCAACTCCAAGTCTGGTTCATCACTACTTAACTTTTCTTGGTTTGTGGCCACATTCACACGCCTAGGGTTGTTGGTAGATGGTGTTTTCCAACATACTCCATAAAGCACCCCCTTTACATTATTTTCTTTACCTATTTCAATCCCTATGCAGGTTCTTCTTTTCTTCCACCATAACAAATAGCATAGCTCTATTACCAGACCCAGCAGAATGCACCCAAATACAAGTGTTAAAACAATACCTAAAACACGGAAAGACATGCCTCCTTTTGCTTTCAGATCTTCATGCCAAAGTACTATAAATAAGTAAAATTATTACATTCAAAACATGTCCGGATGTCCCTATTTCTTCTATGTGATTTGAATGCTCTCAAATTCAACAGATATTAAAGAAGAATCTGGGGTGACATACTGAGACAATATATATAAACTATGCTATATGAGGAAGGACCATTTGCCTTCTAAAAAACACATACCCTTCCATTGATGAAACTCGCGCTCTGAAGATACTAATTACTCTATGTTACCCTCAAAGTCTCAAACATAAGCTTAGCAGTGGAAACTTTGCTTAAGTTCATCTACATAGGGAAAGTCTATCTTCTAAGCTCAAAATATGACGATATATCACATAACATGAGGTTTAAAAAGGATTTTGCTAGCAAGTATCAATAGAGATACTAGAGTTGTATACAATTTAATATCCAATGTATATAAATATTGATAACTATTTTGGAATAGAATATGGTTCTAAATAAATATCTGTGGCACTTTGTGGGTGAAAAGCAGCTCACATGTGCTTGTAAAATCGAGCGTGACATTTGTCATCAAAGCTAACATAAACAATAATAATTTCACATAAATAAAATATGAGTTCACTCTTAACAATGCTAGACATTAATAAGCGAAAGGCAAAAGCATTTTTTATTATTTTGTTATGAATTCAGTTCACCGGGTCAATGCCACAGACACAGACAATGTAATCAGGAAGGAACATAATACAACCAACACCCACGGAGATTTAGTTGGACATAACCTGGAGTATAAATCAAAACTGCGTGTCTCATGAAGGAAATCTTATTAATAATAATCAAAAGATACAGAGTACTTTTTCTGATGTGTTTCAAGTCTGAAATTGAAATTCTAGTTCTGAATTTTAATTCCAATTCTGACAGAATTGTATTTCCAATTTATACTCCAGGTTACGAATCAAAATTCATTTCCAATTTTATTGTTTGGATATATATATATATATATATATTTAAGTGGTACAATCACTTATTCTTTTGGCTAAAAAAGTTTATTATTTATTTCTCTTTCATCAACTTTTTTCTTCATATTTTCTGTTTTCTGTCTTCTCACATACTCAACATTATAAATGTTTTTTTAATAATATCAATAGTTATCCTGAGGATGTAACTAATATCTTCTTAATTATAGATGTTGTAAACATTCATACTCTTTTTTAGTCCAGAAAAATAAAATGATATTTCAATGGGTTTACGTAGTTTCATTCCTAATCTTAGTAATTAGCCTAGGTGTTGTCGAAAAGCCCAAAAACTTCGTAAGGGGCCACAGCGGTTGTGTCGAGCAACACACAGCTTGTGTGTCAACAATTGGTACTGGGCTGAAACTGAAAGCAAATATTTAAATCAAATCCGATCACATATGCACATGCATGACCCATAATAACAAATTTATCCTTCGATTCGACCAATGCACATAACTTGTTTCCTTTCTATTTAATCACTATTTTTCTATATAACAACTACAGTTAACTAAAGCAATATTAGAGAAACGTGACTCATGAATGTTAATAAATGGCATTAATACCTATTGTTGTAAAATCATTATGTAGGCTCCTTATACTTAACTATATATAACAGTATGGTCTTGGAAGTTGCAATGACAATTGAATCCCTAGTCTTACTCTGAAAGTCAATTGAAAAATGTAACACTCTAACGGATAATTTGGAAATATCCCCTCATTCTCATTTCTAGACGTTATCGGTTGTGATGAGAAGCTGAAGCGTGTTCTTCTTCATTTCCTTTATATCCATGGCGAAGACACTTATTTCGTATTCTTCTTCCTTCTCTCTCTCGCACCACAACCAACATCAACTTCACCTTCCACCATATTCCCCCAATTCAATCCATACACAATTCCATACACTTCACCAAAATTGTTACAAGAACTGAAGCCATTCTATACACGCTCGCCGACGCAACCGTCGCAGCAGCAGATTCGACTACAGCTGCTTCTGGTGATGCCGCTGTTCAAAAAAACGGAGGGTGGTTCGGCTTTATCTCCGCGACCATGGAATTTGTTCTTAAGGTATTTGAAATATGATCAAGAAATAAGTTGACATGAGGTGTTTTGGTTTCAATGAATCCCTATTGTCCTTATTTCTTTATCATTCTCATTTACCATATTGATATTATATATTTATCTTGATATTCTTGTGGCAAAATTGCTCACATTTTATCATATACTTTACTAGTTATTCTTGAGCGAAAATGCTCATCTTTCATCAAATTTTTCTTTTGTTATTTTTGAACAAAAATTGTTCATATTTTATCTCATTCTTTGGCCAAGAAATTTAGATGATATTCTTGAACATTAATATTTCATCACATTTTAGAATTCTCTCATTTTCATGGTACTCTTGAGCAGGAACCACAATACTGATTCCTGATATGCCTTTCTTCTCTAAATGAATCTATTTCTTGATTCCTGATATGCCTTTCTTCTCTAAATGAATCTATTTCTTCTCTAAACGTGTATGAGAAATTATTAAAAGAAGGGAAGATATGAGAAAAAGAATGAATTTTTATATATGAGTGGGGAAAGGAAAGAGAATAGTAAAATGAGAAGAGTAACGATGTTATGTTTTGAAAGATAAAAATACATTTTAAAAGAAAATGTTATTTACTTAAAAAGAATGCTTTTCAAAGATAATATCAGTCATTTCACACAATTCAACTTTCTCTCCATATTTAGTGACAATGAATTTTTGTGGATCTTACACTCTTTTACCCTCTCCACATCCTCTCTCTTCTCAACACACTTTATATCCTATTTCTCTTATTCCATCTTCTTTTCATTACTCTCTAGATCGAAATGAAGACCAAAAAGTATCTGAAGGCTTTCTTTATGGTACAGGAAAAAATAAAATTTATGTAATATTTTTCAGAAAAAGGTATATACTAAAGAGTAAGTTCTGATATTTATATTTAATCATACTGTATAAATAATATACATAAATGTTGTATGGAAACTTTGAAGAGTAATTGATTTAATTTTTAGTTTAATATTTATAGGCTTATATGTAAGAGAATATCCTAAATTATATGTTTAATATTTATGCACCGTCAATATAAATATATAATCACTATATTATTTAGGATTAATTTTTCTAAGAAATAATAATTAAATATAAATATTATGTAATAATATAATAATAATTAAATATAATTTTTTTAATTAACAATAAATGGTAAAGATGAGAATATAATGATAATATAAAAACGTGTAACGCTTGTGTAAGTATCAAACTTATTTTTATTTTAAATTCTTTAAATAACATGAGTAGACAGTTGTTAAAAAAATAGTTGGAAACCAAGCAGCAGGTACGTAACTGAGAAAGAAAGTGAAGATTCGACAGACAAGAACCTCGTAAACAGAGCTTCCTTATCCTGTTGCGAGTGCCTAAGCTTTTTGTCGTCATGACCGACTTCACCACCTTAACACGGATATGTAATATGGATATATGGTGGTATTAATATAAGGAAAATGATATATCTCCTATTATTTTTTTACCCTAAAATTACTTTTTTGTGGGTAGGACAATTAGTATGATAATTTAGGATGAGGATATAACATTACTCTTAATATAAATGAACAATGACAGTGTTAGATAAACATTTCTTAACAAAATTAAATTTATTCATTAAAAATTAAGCCATGCTAAGAATAATAAACTTTTTTAGTATAATTGATAGTAACCTCTCCTTATATATAATGAATTATTCCATTTCGAAATTTGTGATTCAGTATTCCAACAATTATCTAACCCCAAGATGATGTGTAAGCTCTCTGTTTATTCCCCATACTCACACCACTCACCACCGACGTCTCTTGTGGTTTCTGGCTATCTCTTTTCAGAAATTGTTCTGTGAAAAACTGCACATTAATGAATACACTTTCTATTAAGAGAATATTGTTAAACCAGTAAATCACTTATATCATTAAATTAAGAGAATATTGTTAAACCAGTAAATCACTTATATCATTAAATTAACTCATTTGATATGTTGTCTTATTTATTTTCCTATAGAAATTTTTATTTTAAAAACTTATAGAAAAATGAAAAAATAAAATGAATGTTAAAAAATAAGTAAATTTGAGAAGATAAATTATCTTATCGTATAATAAAATAATTTATTCTATTATACTATTAACGTGTATTATTTTTACCCTTAGCTAGCCATATTACTAGCTATCCAGTCGTAATGAAAAAAATACACTGAAAAAATAAAACAATGCACCGCACCTCTTTCAAAGATAAGAATCCTTTTACCACCTAAGTCAGTACCAAAATCAACGAGCCTCCTACAACAGAGTAGAAATTTCTCCAGGTGAAATTATTATACCTAATTTCAAAGATAAAAAATCATTATAAATATAATAAAATGATTAAATTATTTTTCATTTTTCATTTTATATTTTTTTATACCTCATTTATATCTCAATTAATAGAATGGAGATGATTCATACTCCTTACTTACTAGACTAATGGGTTGGTTACATGAATCTCTAACAATATCTATGGGAGAAAAGTGTATTTCTTAATACTATATGAATTTTATAATGAGAATAGATAAATATTTCACTCATTATATATTTCAACCTCTTCCCATATAAAATTATAAATACAGAAACCCTTACTACAACCAGAACATCACAAGTTCTTTCTATGGCTCCCTCTTCTTTTCTCAATCTCTCACTTTTCTTAGTATCATTCCAAGTTCTCACGATCACCACAAATGCCCTCTTCCTAACCCTCGTTAACAACTGTAAGTACACCGTCTGGCCCGCCATCCAGGCCAACTCCGGTAACCCGCTCCTTGCCGGCGGCGGCCTCCAACTCAACTCCTTCACCCACCAGTCCATCCCTTTCCCAGACACCCGCTGGTCTGGCCGTGTCTGGGCCCGAACCGGCTGTACCTACGACGGTAACCACCAGTTCATCTGCGCCACTGGCGACTGCGGCGGCCGGCTCCAGTGCAACGGCGCAGGAGGTTCACCCCCTGCCACGCTAGCTCAGTTCGAAGTGCACCACGGCAACAACGACTTCTCTTCTTACGGCGTCAGCTTAGTTGACGGCTTTAATATTCCGTTAACGATTACACCTCACGAGGGCAAAGGCGAGTGCCCCGTGGTGGGTTGTCGTAACGATCTAGTTGCCACGTGTCCTCCACCGTTACAACACCGTGTTCCGCTAGGTCACGGCCCTGTGGTCGCGTGTAAGAGCGGTTGCGAAGCTTTTCACACGGACGAGCTTTGTTGTAGGAACCATTACAATAGCCCACAGATGTGTAAGGGGAGCGTGTACTCCACGTACTTCAAGCACGCGTGCCCTGCTACCTTCACCTTCGCACACGACAACCCTTCCTTCATGCATCAGTGTTCTTCCCCTCGTGAGCTTAAGATTATCTTCTGCCATTAAAATTAAAGAGCGTGTGATGTAATCGCCTTGGTCACTTTATAGTGACCTAGTTAGATGTATGGTTATTCAAATAAGTGTGTTCTGTACTTTAATTCTGATTAGGTTTGTGTGATTTAGTGTTTAAAAAGAAGCTGGAAAATGCAATGTTAATCTATGTTTGATTAATGTAAGACTTTTCTAGTTTTGAATGGTTTAGATAATCTGCATTTTTGTGTGTAGGAGTTGTGTGCATTTTTTATTACAACCAAACACTGTGTTAAGCTCATTGTCCTATGTACACTCTCTTCACCTCCTTAATTTTAATTAAAATTATTCCTGAATAATAAGTATAAGACAACTTCATTTATCTTGAAATGTGACAAGTGTTACATACTTTTAGTTTAGATAAAAGTTACCTATATATAAAATATTATTCTTCTCTAGAGTAGTGTAGATATACTTTAACTTTTTATAATAACTCTCAAGTCTGGTTCATATAAAATATTAGGATAAAAGAAGTGAGAGTTTGAAAAGGACCAATGCACCTTGTTGGCTCCAAATCTTCAAAATTCGAATCATTTTTATTGATTGCAGGACAATACTGCACTACTGCGCCTTTCACGTGTTATGTTTACTACTCGGTTTCCTTTTTTTTATTGATAAATCCAAGGAAAGGAAAGTAATTTCTTTTCAAATAATAATAATAATTTTTTAATGTGTGATTAAAGGACAAGGTAATATTTTAACAATAAATCCTTCTTCAACCTACTTTACTTGATTGAAAGAGATGTGAAACGCTTGACTTGGTTTGACCGTTTGATGACAAAGAAAAAGAAGATTAGGATTTAGCAACAAAAGGAAAGAAAAAAAAGAGTATCAATGTGTCGTGTTGTTAATTTGCCGAAAACGAAAATTGATTTCCTCATGTATATTAATTATCATGGGCTATGACGCAGTATACTTGAAAAGAACTCCAACATAAACTGAAGTTTTCTACTTGGCTCTTTTTACCTGAATCATACAAATCGATTTTAGTCTATCGTGATTCGTGACGGTGTAGTATGAAATTGTTTATTATTACTATATAATAACTACTAGATTCTCTTTCCATAGCCAAATTGATAGGAACAAATACCATGGAACGATCAATTATTGCATGTTTGTTTAAGTATATTGCTTAGGAGTTTTGAGGACTAACTTATTCATTAATTTCCCCACAATATTCTCAATTTTACCTATGTTTTGAGGACTAGCTTATACATTAATTTGCATTGCATGTGCTTAAATACTTAAGCTAAAAAAGTGTCCTTTCAAATATTTTAATAATATAAGCATTTTGTAGAAAAGAAAAAAAAATGTATAAATTTTTTACACAATTACTAGATCATTCATAGTTGTAGGAATGTAAGAAGGTAGCAACGTAGTGAAACCAAAAAATTGACAACAAAACAGAAAATGAGAAATTATTTAGGAAATAGTTCTAACGTGAAAACAATTGTTGTGAAAGCGAAATCCGACTGGACCTTGCTGTAATCTGAATAGTCGACCGCTCCCCAAGGTTAATACAACAAACCTATAAACGCATGCACTCGGGTTTTTAGGCTATAAAAATTACAAATATGTTGTTCAAGTTCTGAATAGAGTATGATAGAGATACATCAAGTATATGGTATCTAAATCCAAAATAATAAGGACTTTAGGTTTATGGTTCTCTACTTGTTAAGTGTATGTTTCTAATGTGATATTGGTCATAGGTGGCCCAATTGGGTTTAGGCTATATTTGACTAATCCAAATCAATTTGGGCTTTATTGTAGTTTGAATTTTGT